GCGGACCGCCAGCTTGACCCGACCCTCGGCGCTGGCATGGGGCACCACTCCCCAAAATAAACGAGTGTGGGGCGGCGCAGCTTGGTGCCCCCCAGCTTGCCTCTGCAGCCGGGAGAGGGCACCTGACCGGGGACCCCCCCACACACCTCCACCAGGCGGGGAGGGACATGCCTCCCGAGGGTGCCTGTCCCCCAGGACAGCGCTGGCCCCGTGGCCCTCCTGGGGGAACGGAGCTGTCCCTCTGCAAACTGATGGCGGCGAGGAGAGCAGGTCCCGGTGCCCGGTCACCCAAAAACAGCAAGGAAAAACACAGCTCTCACCTGGAGCCTTGCTCATTTTAGTCTCAGTTCTTTGTGTTACGCATGTTTTTGGCTGCGATCCCTCAAACTGCACCAGCAGAATGACACAGGACATCCTCCCGCTCCTGCCCGACGCAAGCAGCTAGCATCTGACAAATCCTGGTGTGAAAACAATGCAAAAAGTTGGCACCTGGATGTAGCCCTGTGTGACCCTTTTTGGCTGCAAGCTTTATTACACCACACAGGGAGAGGCCGCGGTTCAACTGCACTAGTCTGTTGTAAGACTTCTGGCCCCTGGGACGTGCCTTTATGCAGGAGCTTCAGAAAATCCAATCTGGGCCTGAAATCAGCAGTCTTTGCATTTTTCCTCTTAAAATGTTGCCCTGTGAATAGTATAGCAAGTCCTGTGTCTTAATTACTGCGTTTCAGTGGGAACACAAAAGTTAACACCTGGCTTCTTAGAGTATATCGAGGCACAATCACGTTCCCTACTATACCAACCTGGCTTTGAAAGCTTTTTAAAAGATCTAGAAATTTTAGGCATTGATTTTTAACATAGTGTTTCTACGTTGTACCAAAAGGGCTCTAGACTATCTATTGTGAAATCCCTTTAAAGTGTTTTGAAAATCTCACTACAGGCCATCCATATTTATCTGAGCCTTTATCCAGCCATTTTCACTAGATCCCGTCATAGCCGCATGACAAGGGAACCTGCACGGAGGTTTTCCATTTATACCCAATATTCTGAGAACTGGACAGGTTCAGCTAAAGATGGGTATCGTACCTGGGTTTTTCAGGGCTTACGCTACAAACTATGTCAAGCTTTTTATCATATTTATTTATGACAACAAATAAAGGGAGTCGGAGGGTTAGAACTTTATTTCATCTTGAAACTGAAGTTGGCGTTCCTGAACCTAAAATCCCTTGGTTTTACTTTTTGCATTTTTCTGGTGTGACCTAGAATACTTAGGATCTATTTTTAAGACTATTTAAGCCATGTTATTACAGTAATCCAATTTACAATGGGAACTTTAAACACCTAATAACTCAGGTGATGGCTTAGAATTGGTTGATCATCTTGCGTTTTTATTATATCTTTCCAAATGTCCTCTTAACATGTAAGAGCTGTAGTTTGGAGTCATGCCAATACTCCCTCCAAAGTATTTTTCTTAGAATATAATTTACAGTATCTCCTTCAATGATTAGCCTCTTTGTCATTTATTTTATTATTTGGGCAGATGGTTTGATTTCTCAAAAAACCCTTATGACTACTATTTTTAGCTTAATGACGAAAATAATTAGCAGATGTCTTTCATTTTCTGGGTTACAAGAAAGGTTTATTCAGAAGAATGAACCTGCAGTTATTCTCCCACGAAGCTAGTATTTATACTATAGATTCACATTCAGCAGCTCATTTTTCCAGCAGAAACTGGAATTCAGTGTGCTGATCACCTACGGGGCTTCATTTCTGTGAGGACACGTGAGGACAGAAGAATACGCTCAACCACCATATATATCACCATTACAGATATTAGTGCCAAAATACAGTCCTGGACTTAGCTTGGTGATATTATGTGAAGGCCTTGACATCTTTCTAGCCCACCTGGATGTCTTCTGAGGGAAAACCCAACCTGGGTATTCCTTCAGGCGGAGGTAGTGGTAGTACTTCTGAGGTAGTATGAGATGCTGCTCGCCTTTCCTCACGCAGCCGGTGTCTGCCGTGCACAGGCGGCATTTCACGTGTGGTGTTTGCTGTGGAGAACTTCAGACACCTCTTCCCAGTTAGACCCGACACGAATGTCTGGAGGAACTGTAGATGCCAGTAAGTGTGACGGTTACTGTACGGCAAGAAGTTCTTCCTCAGGGATGTGCACGTTCCCACTGTGACACGGAGAAAAATCATTTCTGCAAACCTTTCACAAGTTACCTTAGTGATGTTCAGTAGTGGAAAGCTGTTTCAAAGCAGCTGGGATGAATTCATTTTCTGCTGTGGGTGTGCCTTGACAGAAACATGGAGCATCCCACTTAGAGCCACAACAGGGTTTCTCTTCCCTTTCTTTATCATAAACTCCTTTGATTTATTTTAATTTTTCCCTCCTTGTAGCAAAATCAATGTCACTTGAAAAACAGATGTTATATCTGTAAGGCTTGCTGAGAAACTTTTCATGTTGTACCTCCGTGCAGTTTCTGTATTTTTAGGCATCTGGAGGATTAGGAAAAAATCCTAGTGTACTTTAATAATATTCATGCCAATACTTTCTTTCTTTGTATTATACTGTACATATTGTTGAATGTTTCAGATAGAAAATAATGTAAGATTATATCCCAAAGAAGCTTCTAATGAAATCAATTGCTATCACAGGAAACAACCCAGTGACGAAAATACTGTAGATGACTGTAGTCTTAAGAGATGCAGAATAAATGAATATTCCTTGTAAAAAAAAAAAAAGATTCTTTGAGGGCTATAAATAAGATGACAGAGCTAAATAGAAGAAGAGGCCTTACCTGAAGGTAAAAGGCATTTTTCAAAAAGTGGAAGTTGTGTGCAAACAAGGGAGCTTACATAGATCATAAACCCAAACAAATTAGGCTTAGCCTAACTATAAACAAAGATTTCAAAGAACAACTTGCTAAACGCAAGTATAAAAGTAACTAATAAAACCTTAGACCACAAGAACCAGGAAGTTTTGCTGAGCTGAGAGATGATTTGGGAGTAGAAGGATCACAAAAAAGGCCACGGAAGAGGTGCTAACACAACTCTCTGTTGCAGGGTTCACTACCAGAGAGCTTGGAGACATTCATATCCATACTCTTTCTTTACAAAAATCGCGTCTGAAGAGTTATCTCACTTTGAGTGGTTGGAAGAAAAAAAAATAGCTCAGATAAGTAAAATGGATAATAAAATCAGCTGGCCAAAGTCCTCTTCACCCAGAAGATCCTAGAGAGGTCAGATATTGAGTAGCCGTTCCACTAACTGAAGTGTAAACTTCTACCGCTCAAATAATTTTTGAAGTCAGCCAAATAGAAAGTACCAAATCTTGAAAAGGGCTCCAGAGGGTATTTGTATTTGAGGCAATCCACTTAAAAATATCCTGAAGAGTAGTATCAGTTGGCACATGAATAACTCTGAACTAATGGGGAAGCATCAACCTACCTTTTGTGGAAGGAAGCCATGCCTCCTGGCTATCTGCTGAAGGCTTCATCAAGCTCTTTCATATGTAAATGATCCAGTCTATACGGGACTTTTAAATACCATTAATGCTTCTGTCAAGGTCTTTTAGGAAAGACCCACGAAGACCTTTATAAAGAAACTCAACTATCCTGAGATTTAAAGGATTAATAACTACTTAACGGGATATTAAAGAAAATGGTGGAAATGCAACTTCTGTCTCACAACACAAGAAAAGAGGCACTGGATGAAATCCTCAGACAGTGGGTTTGAAACAAATGAAAGGAAGCACTTGTTCCACACGTGGCACATTATTAAATGGCACTTTGCCCACATAATCAGAGAATGATGTAGAAACAAAAATTATAAACGGGTAAAAAAGTGCAAATTATGGAAGAAATATCCATCAGGTGCTATTAAATACAAAAATTCAGATTTTCAGTTCTTTATATGTGTGAGGCCTCTAATAAATGACTGAAAGCAACAACTCTTATAATAGGCTAAAGAAACAGAAAAGCAAGCGCATCATCTGTGTCTTAGCTCCCTGCAGCTTTAACACCTGCAGTCTTTGTGCTTACTTGGGAAAAGCTCAGACTCTGGAGACATTCAGAAATCTTCTTGGGGAGAATGACTGTTGGAAAAGGTGTTTCAGTAGGAATACTAGATTCTTTATTTACTTATTTACCAGTATTTTCGTTAAAATATTGACAGCCTGAGCACTGCGTGGAGCCCTTCCTAGTTTGCATAGCACAATTACTCTAAGTGGTAACATCTTTTTCTTGTTACCATCGTACCCTCACATTGATCAAAACCAGGAGAGGGCCTCCAACATATTGGCCTCCAGCAACTGGCTTCTAAATTAGTACAAAGCAAGAGTTAACTCCACAGAAGTTGGAAGCAAGTATAAAGCAAAAATCAAGCTTCTGATTCGTGAGATTACATGTACGCATCCAAATACGTGCATACTTCCACATGCAAGCGTCCTGTCGTCTGTGATACAGCATCAGGCTTCACGTCTCGCTGCGACCTGGAGCAGAACTGACGGCTATATGTGGGCTTTGAATTAAAGCACTCTAAGGAGAAGGGAGGTGATTACATTGCCTAGGTTCAGAAATGTCTACCCAGAGGATCTGCAGCTGAAATGTGTGTTCGTATCAGAATGACAAAGCCAGGATTTGAACAGAGATGCTGCTTTTTCAACCCAGAGTTGGCCCTGACAGGTTGCATGCGAGATGTGCCCTGCAGATATCCAGCTCTTGCCTCCTACCCTTCCTCATCTCCAGGCTCCCACACACATTCATAAAAGGATTAGAGCCTGGTTACAAAATTGTATTGAAACATAGATACTGATGCAAATTGTACAGCCTGTTGGCACTGTATGAATCATGCCAGGCCTAGAATGAGTCTACATTAATTCCAAGTGTGCTGTATTTCCATTTCCAATCTAGTTCTCTTTTGATATTCATACTGTGAGTTGCCTTCATTTAGATAATTTTCTTTCTTTTTGCAATTTTACTTTGCATCTATTAATGCTCTTGGCAAGTCTCTGCATACGTAGCTAATTTCCAAAGCTTCCCTCATCCTGTTCTGTGTTTGATCTCCTGTTCTTCCAAAGGAATGTAAACAATGGCAATCAGAAATCAAGATAAAGAAAGAGGCATCTCTTGAGCTAGCTTTAACAAACAAATCCTTATTAGAAACAGACCAAAAGAACCAGGAAAGGGTCCATTCCCACCGTAAAGTTGCTTTTTTGCAACCCAGATATACACACAGTGGACCTGCATCCTATCATTTTGGTCATCCTCACTTCTTTCACATGAAAAGCATGTGCTACCCTTTGAAGCCCGTTGTTCCTGCTTTCTCAGGGAAAATGAGCTGTGCCCC